TATATATATATATATATATATATATATATATATATATACATACCAATTGATCAAAATTTCAATAATGCTAGTTTTGTAATGGAACACTTGAAATCCTTTACCTGGCAACTATTTTGACATTCGTACCAGTTAAATATAAGCATAGCAAAGATTCTGTCTACATTCTTGCAATTCTTCTGAAACATAAATGAATACTGAAATATACTAATTAACCTTTACACATCTACATAATCAAGTTTTTCAGATATCACCCAAAAGTTCATGATTCAATTTTAACGATGATATCAAGATAAAGAATAATAGTTCATTTTGTTAATTCCAAGTGGTTTCTTCATAAGCCAGAATTATCAAAACAAATAGTAGCAGCCTAATCTTCGGGTGATCGATCCATGATCCTTGCTCTATTGGGAATTGGTCGCGCAAATAACCTTCTTCCTTCGTTTTTTTTAATACGTAGACTAATTTTTCCAATAAAATTCCAGCTGTTTATTGAATAAGCATTTGATGAATTATCATAAAAGGAGTAATAAGAAAGGGCCGTATTATAACATTCGACTGTGGTCGTGAATACCTCGATGTGACTTATTGCGCATTCCAAGAATTTAATCTTTTGTCAACAGAAGTGTGTAATTAATTGATCGTAACATCCTTAGAGAAAAGGATATTACAATTAATGCAATGCTGTTATGAAGAATGCATAATGCTTGTTTTGCTTATTGTATTAATCAAAAAGGAAAACAAAATATCATAAACATAATAATGATACGCTTTTTAGATATACATTTCCTAATAATGTAAAACAAATCTTTTTTTTATCTTCTACTTTTCATTATCTTTCCTATCCTATCGATATGATCTGGGTAAATACAAATTATATCCACCTTGTAGTAATAAATGATGAACCACTTGTAATCGAATGATCGCTGATTTTGTTCTCATTACACAATTTTGTACACGTGTATAACTTTAATTACGGAAAAATTTCCACATAATAAATAACAACATTCGGTATTATTTTTTATCATCTTTTCTATTCGGTCGCTTTTTACCCTTATGTGATTTTTCATCTAATTTCTGTATCTGTTCAACGGCTTCAGATGAACCTCGTACCACACGTACATCATAGGTTTTAGCCATTTCACCAAGTGGTCCTTCTACACTCGCGAAACATGCTTTATCTACTGTCGAAGTATGCTGCAAAATTTCAAATGTACTGAAGTTGTTATTCATTATCATCCAAAAACTGCAATTATACAAATGAATTTCATGACTTTCAGATAACTTAGTTCAAGGGAAAAGAGTGAGTGAAAAGGAAATTTCAATATTTTACCTCTTTTCCGCTTTTCATTCCCCTGCTATCCTCACTTTTGCTACTCTTAATCTCCTCGTGTTTCTTTTGCAATCCCTTTATTAAATCACATATTGTAGCTTCATAATCCATATTTTCTTTCGCGTATTGCTAGAAAAATCAATTGTTGGAACAAATGCATAAAAAATTTTGAAAAATGACAGTTTTTAAAAAATGAAGAACAAAATTATTTATGTATATGTATCCCTGATAATACCTGCAATACTTTCAAATCATCCACATCCTTCATTTGACAACACGCTTTATCTGGAAAAATTGCTTTAATCAGACGCACTAAATTTGCAGCATCCTCAGTCCTGAAACAAAATGAAATGAAATTCTAGTGATGGTCTAGAAAAGGGAGATGATTTAAAAAAAAAAGGGAGGGAGAGAACTTACCTTTTCTCAACTATATAATGATTTAGCAGAGGTGCAAATTTGTTATTTAATACAAGATAAAAGACGAAAGGACCAAAATGCCTGGTAGAATGCAGATTTGCAAATTTATTTTCGTTTATTGTACGATCAAATATCACATGACAAAGCTGAAATTTATAAAGAATTTTGTGAATCTTCATAAGAAAGAAACAAGAAAACAAGCTTAAAGTGTAGTTAGATTTCGCTTTCGCTTAACTTATCTGCCACGTTTTTTATTGGGATTTCTAATTTAATTCCATTCTATTCATACTTAGAAATTATTGAAAAAAGTAAAGACTTCATAGCATCCAGCAATTTTTGCCAGAAAATACTGAAATATAAAAAAAAAGGCTTTAAAGCACATACAATTGCTGCTAATCCACATAATAGTGGTCAGCATCGCTGATGAGTCACATATAATTAAATATTTGAATGATGTGATTTAAGTGATTTAAGCTAACCTTGATGAAGACCGGGTCATTTGGTAGATAATAATGGCACGCCCAATCGAGAACATATTCGTGATCATCCCTGTCCAATGCCATCTAAATACTTTAGGAAATGTACAAAATTAGCTCACGCCGTATAGAATTTCACCAGTGCTCCCTAAATTAATCATTATCATAAGCAGCAAACCTGCAAATATGGATCTTTGAACAATGGTGGCTCATATATTGGTCGATAAGGATGACCCTTGTAAACTCTCGTCATTCTATCGCGTTCTTCCGGTGTTGCACTTCGTAATGTACCATCTGTTTCACGTACAACAACTGAGCGCACCTGTAATGAAGCTCATAGTTTCACAAAAATAAAAATGAAAGTGTTTGAAGAAAAAAAGCACAAGTGAACGCTTTAACCTGGATTCCAAGGCCAAACGAAAGATCTGTGAAGACATATTTACTGCTATCAAAACCTTTGATTTCCGGATCATTGGCAAGAACGGTTGGTGTATTACAACGCGGTTCTAGTACAGGCACAAACTGCAGGAAATTCGTTCCTATTTCTTCCATGCTTTTCACTGTCTAAAATAATTTTGAGAAATTTGAGGTAAATTTTTTAGACATCAAATCAATTTGCAATACAAATGAAACATTTAACGTATAGACTGTAGTACAGGGTAACTGTTGCTAGCAAAAAGTTATAGGCAGTAGATTTCATATGAAATTGAACAATAATCATAAAAGGACTTCAAAGCTTGAAAGTACGATGCGATACCTTTTGGTAAGCTTCATCCGTCATCAAAGCATAATGTGAACGCTGAGGTTGAGTGATTTGCCGATTGCCGAATAATTTTTCCCTAAGATTTAATCCCGTAAGGCGTTTTAGTAAACTCTGAATATCATTTCTTGTAAACAGACGTTCCACATCAATGCTGTTACTACCACCAGCTTGCTGCATCTCAGTCACCGTTCTGCAATACATAATCAACATGGAATATTATGCAAAAAAAGCCATTATATTGAATTTGAACAAAATCATAAAATGATTATGAGATTTGAAATGTTTTCGGGTGTGATGACATAAGGCATTGTAACATACATTAAATACGACTAGACTTTTACTGGACTTTTTCAAAACATTTAGCATTCATCTATACATTACTTTTCCTATAAGAAATTCCTTCCTCCCAAAGTTACTATTTTTACTTCCTGTTTTCTAGACAGCATTGCAACGGAATGGTTATTATTAACTAAGACAAACTACATGCTTTTGCTTGTATGCTACTTTTATTTAACCTTAATATATGAATTATATTTATACTTTGTATTAGATAATACTTAATAACTTCATCAAAACTGATAATAATTTCTCCCTAACTATAGAATACAATAGTTCTGTTACTGTATATATACCACAGTGATCTTAATCCAAAGAAACAACCTATTTACTTTTATTGTTTCCACATTACTTTTACTTTAACTACCATTTATATAACCTTACTCTGTACATTTGATCCAAGCGGAATAGAAACTTTTCTGGATTGTCATGTGATCACAATTTTTGGATCTCATCAATAATCTCCATAAATTTCTCGTTACGACCATATTTGAAGTAGCAGAAAGTATGGATCAAATCTGAAACAAAAAAAAAAAAGAACAAAAAGACAAAAACTACCGTTATAAGCAATTGATTTCAGTTGGTTAAATTTTTATCTAATCCATTCCAAAATATTGACTATCAAGCATACCAAAGAAATCAGTTTCAATTCTTTTTTTTTTTTTTGAATTCTATAAACTTAAAAAGAATTCACATAATAAGGCTCATATTTGCATTTATAATATTAACTCAAATTTGAGCTAATAATCTAAACCAAAGTTTGAAAAATTTACACGAAGATACCAATCTTAAATATTAATGGAATTACAAGCAGATTAGATTCTAACGATGAAATCCGGTAAACCGGAAAATTACCCAATATTGATGAAAAAAAGCTGGCACGAATAACTGGGATGCGCAGATCATTTCGCGATACACATCGTAGCACAGTTTACAGCCTGGTGACAAAATGAGCCTGTTGTTGACACACACGCACACACACACATGCGTAAAAGAGTCAATGCAGTTGAGGGTTGCTGCAATTTTGGGTTGTTTACATTAGCTTTGCATGGTTGTATTATTACAATGGGTTTTACGTGTTTATGTGACAATTGACATTATATAAGAAGTATTTGTAATTAGCTGCATATTACTCAAGTAATCAATCTTATATTTGAAGATGTAAAGTTGCTATAATATGCATAACATGGATAATTAACTTACTATTAAGGTCTTATTAAGCTATTATGGCATTCTAAGATTTGGCTAAAAGTATGATAGTAATAAGTCTTAGTTAAAAATTCTAATAGTATTAGATACTATTACATTTAAAATACCATAATAATTTGTTAGATTTCTTACATAAAAAGATAAATAATTGAGTTGTTTTGTATGATTATCGAAGGGCTTCTTGAATTAAAACAACATAAATACTTGTATACCAAAAATTGAGTTGTTAGTATATATCTTGATAGTGAAATCTTGTTTGTAAAAACAGAAATGTGGTTGTTAAGTATCGTATTGACAGCGCTATTGATAAAGTACTATGCTAGTTATGCGTTAGAGATGTATCTGCTGTTTCTGGAAATGTTGATCATAAGAACCAGCCTCTCGCTACAGGTTTTTTTGATACTTCATACTCGTGTGTATTTATATATCAAAGTAAAGAAGCAGCTGCTGTGTCGTTTTTTTTTTCTCAAAAAATTTCTGCCGATTGTTTTATTCAGTGGTTTGATCAGTCAAATGTGTTGCGTTGTAAAAGTTAATTAACTAAGTTATTGCCAAGTATAATTGTAGGGCTTTGACGAATGAATAGATAAGTGGAAAATTATACATTCTTTCCGTTCTTTTAATCCCTGAAATCTAAGCTGTAACATATTCATTTAGTCATGTGTTTTACACCATGCCAAATGGATATGTGTATGTGTGCCGTATATGCGTACGTTTATATATATATATATATCTATGTATACTTGTATATATATGTGTTTGTTTGTGTGTGCGTATATATATATATATATATATATATATATGT